ATACTAGTACTATAATATGTTATATTATTTTGAACCGAACACCATTACTCTTGTGTGTGTGTAAAATCGGCCGCCCTTGAAATCCACTGAGACGGCGTGATTTTTTTTTTTTTTTTTTAAATGTTGTTTTACTGGCAGTGGGTTATCGGTGTAAACCGGACGCGTCCATATATTATTGCAATATATACTTTTGCAAAAGCTATAAAAATATATTTAAAGAAATGTAGAAAAATAAAAAAGATTACACGTTTACGTTGAAAAATGACTCACCGGTTCTCTTTATGCATTTGTCGGTACGAAAAAAATAATATTATGTCGACTAACTTTCAGCAGCAGCAACGACAAACATTTCCGGTCTGGATGAATCAACCAAAGCAGGCCAATCTAGGCCAATGTTTGGCAATTAGTATCAATAGATACGATTTTTCGTCGCTCCGTGGGAAAAACATTGATAGTTGGCTTTTTCTTTCAGGATTAACCTGCGCGATTAAAATATGTTTTCACATGATGTTTTACTTATTTTATAAGTAAGTAAGTAGGTAATATATAAGTAAGTACTTATATTATATTTAACACTTATCTCCATTGCAAAAAAAAAAGGATACAGCACAACACGCGATTGAATCAAATAGAGCAAACAAATCTAGAAATAATATATATTTGGAAAAGGATTAAATAAATCGAGTAACTAGAGTAAACGAGTAAACAAATAGAGTCAACGAGTAAATAAATAGAGTAAAGGAGTAAACAAATAGAGTAAACGAGTAAACAAATAGAGTCAGCGAGTAAATAAATAGAGTAAAGGAGCAAACAAATAGAGTAAACGAGTAAACAAATAGAGTCAACGAGTAAATAAATAGAGTAAAGGAGTAAACAAATCAAATAATCTAATGAACAAATAGAAAATAGAAACGCGTCAAAAGAAAAAAATCACTCTTTTAAGTTGAAAAATTACTGAAAATTGTACTTGGATAATTTTTAGTATGGAACATGCTTTAGCCTTGGCCCCCCAGCCTGAAAACATCACTACATTGCGATACTAAAGTAGCGTAATAACAGCAACACGATTATTGTTTATTTGGCCAGAACATATAATTCAGACTATACTATCATCATAAATCGCGGGGAGATTATAGATCACACATAATCACTGTTCAGGAGACAGCAGGCTAAAGCATATTCTATAATTTTAGCCGTTAGGCTTTAAGTAGACTGTAACTTTTTTTGAATAGAATATAGAGAAAAAAATTATCATGATCTCAATAATATTAGGATATTATAAATAACATGTAGTTAGGTACTTATAAATAGAAGAATGTAATTAAATCAAGAAAATCGAGTAAACAATAAGAAAAGAAAAATGCATCAAAAGAAAAAGATAACTCGTTTACGCCGAAAAATTACAATATATCTTAAATATTCCAATAAAAAAAAACGATCTATACTAAACATTTGTATTGGATGAAAAAATGATTCGACCCAAATAATATTATTTCTAATAATAAATTGATCAGGGACTAAAATCTAAGAATTTTCACACTAGATAATAATGATCAAATACGCCCAGTAACAGTTTTTTTTCCATTTAATTCTTGCTATTTTATGTAATTATTTAAATTATATTTAGTTTCATACTTTTTATGCAATATTAAAATTGTCATGGTAATGATAATCAAATACGCCCAGTAACAATTTTTTTTTCTTCATTTAATTCTTCCTTTTTTATATATTTATTTAAATTATATTCAGTTTCATATTCTTTATGCAATATTAAAAGTGACGGGATTATTTAATATAACTAAAGAACCATTGCCTTTGGCCTATGATAAAAAATGAATAACAAATAAAAAGTATTGTAATGCACTTTTATTAAAAATATAGTATATTGTTTTGTAGTATTGTTTGTTTTTAATATTTAAAATTGTAATTTGCTTGATTTATCTACCGCAGCAGTCAATATATATTGTCTTCACGATTTCTTATAATATTATGTTTCAATTAGCTTAAACTTACTAAAAAGCCTCGTTAAAAATGTATTTGGTCATTTGGTGGAAAGGTCATTTTTACAGTTGAAATTGATCAAAAACAGGTTCCGGATGATTAAAAGAGAAGCTCAAAGTATTGGCTTTGCTCAGCATTAAACATAATATATTTAAGACAACGAAGTTATCTTCAATGGTACCTATATTACGTGTTGGCCATTTTTATTATTTCATATTATAAGTATGATTGTTTGAATTAAACAAAAGTGTATTTGCTCGTTGGTGGTTAGTTTCAATTTGTGTCATCTTGCATCTTCCTACCGTATTTACATACAATTACAATATTATGTTAATTTCAAAATTGAAATATTGATTTTTGCATAATTTGCCACTCAGACAACTTAGTTGTTTAAAGCACAATGTCAATAAATCGCACCTATTGAATATTTTAATGATTTTCATTTTGCGACCTATGCCTATCAATCCGTTAACCGTTAAATATTGCACCTTTAGTACAGAGTTGCCAACAGTTTAATAATAAGGCAAAATATTAACGCGTGAAACATTATTTTGGTTGGCAAGTGTAATATTTAAAAAAAAAACCGGTCACGTGGTAGTCCTTCAGGCCGGATTTACTAAATTTCTTACGGTAGCTCTCAGACTTTTTTTTTTGTTTTATTTCTTTAGCCATAAAAACCGATTCTTACCGGCGGGAAAATAATGGAAACCCCTATTATAATATTATTGTACCGGAATATCCCCAATCCACTATTTTGTATTGTACTTTATACTTACCTATAGAAATTACATACTCCTCCTATATAATACAAATTACAATGCATTATACATTGCGCGAACCGGTGGCTTACGGGCAAACCGTTTGCCCTTGATCGTTTTTGATTTATTTTATTCAATAATATCACTATTATTATTATACCTACTATCGTATCGGCACTATATTTTTTCGCGCACCATTGACCTCTAGAAATGATGAATATATTATTATTGGGAGTACACTGATCGTAGGTACTACTCTAACCTATGCGCGACGGTCGACCATCTCATGACCATAATATTATAAGCACACCCATCCATAATAATCCAAGACGGTAGGTATTTAAAAATTGTTTCCCTCGTCAAAATATGTCCTATGAACGGCAGCTGTTGATTTTCTGTCTCTTATCAGTCGACTCCCTTATCAGCCGGTTCTCTTATCAATAACCGCTTATCAGCGTTATCCGAAAATTATTATTCTTATCAAAACTCATCACCGAATTTTATCATAAATCATTTTGACTTGGCCAATCTTCTTTTCGAATAATCGTTTAAAGTTTAACAGCTAATAAGAAATAATTTGAGTCAGCTTTCACTTGATATTTTTTTTTTTTTGTTGTTGGCCCTGAAAAAAAAAATTAAGTGCTATTATAATTTCTGTTATTCGCCTTAGGTTTTAAAATGATTTAGACCGGAAGCATTATAGATAGCTTGTTTACAAGTTTTCATTAAGTTATAAATTAATAACAAATAATAATAAATTAACAAACGGATTAAGTTAATGTTCACTAAAAAAATATATATTTATCTGGTATTTGAGTTTTTATCTAGAAATAAAAACCAAAATATATTTCTAATTATACTATTTTTCTGGTTTAATTTAAATATAAGCTTACAAAACAGCTTTATTATATTACACTTTAAATAATTTTTTCTAAAAACATATTTATGACAAAAATACACTATTACAAAATATACAATAATTATTATAAAACGTTTACAATCGTTACCTGTTGGAATTTGCTAAAAACTGGACTTGTAACGCAAACTTATACTTGGATTAACCATTCTATGCTCATTTAACATTTGTTTTTAATTTGATAGCATGAGTACAATTTTGTATACACCGGATGATTCTTTTAAGGTCCTTTTGTAGTTACTTCTTTTTGAAAACGTTTTTGTTATACTATTGCATTAATATACATTATTCGAATTTTTACCTTTTTTACTATTTTCTTGAGCTTTTGATCTACTTTTAAAACTTAAACGGTAACATACATACCTATTCGATTAAATTGAGAATACCTAATTTAATTTATTTCAAATTGAGAATAATTTACTGCAAATGTTGATAACCAGTTTTGAATAGACGGTTTTAGAATTTTTAAACCGATAGATAATTGTAATTAGAGAAAACTGGCGTGGGGCGTTAAAAGAATCACCCGGTAGATTAAATTAACGGGAATTTGAGGAAAATATGTAAAATAATCAATTTCTTTAATAACTCTACGGGGAGGCACCTAAACTAAATGTATTTTTGCTAACAAAATAAAACTAAAAAAATGAATTTTTTTTAAACAAAAAAAAAGATTTTTGTTGTAGGGCCAAGTTTTAGGGTTATTACAAAAAAAAAAAAAATAATAAAACTGATTGAATTAATTTGGAAAATGACACAAGTCATTGTTATTTACTTTTTAAAATAAAAACGACCGTGCGGCGATCGAGGAAGTGCCATAACCGGAAGTGTAATAAAACGCTACTTGAAAAAACTAATCGGTCTTACACGTTGTTGTTTATGTGCGTTTTACGTTATCGGCGCGGCGACAGCGGCGACGACGTCGTTTATACATACATACTGGAATAATAATAATATTTAATAATATAATAATAACGCATAAAGAGAGACTCGATCCGGCGCGGCCACCTTCATATCCAAGGTCCGCGCGCGCGGCACTAACGTGCACACACACATACGTTAGTACAGTCTCAATGCCGCGGTGTCCGGAACAAGGAAGAGAACGGAACACGCAGGCCGAGCGATCGTCGCTATTCGCCGTAACGATAGCGAGCAATGTGTGTGCGCGCGGACTGGAATCGGAAGTGAAGTACAACAACAACGCCGTGGCCGGTCGCCGCCGCCGCCCGCCGACAGCAGTAAAAGGCGTTGTTGTGGTGCATAACATTATTGGGTATAGTAAAGGTCCTGCGTACGCCTATTGTGGAGCGTTATCGTTACGAGCGCGAGCGGACCGCCCGGCCGCCGCCGCGTTGGACTAGTGGGGGCCCGGCGACATTGAACCGCCGGCGGTCCAATAACCCTGGACGGATTGGCGCGCACGTTATATAAGCAGGTGAACGCCGCGGGAGCGTTTTAGTTGGTTTTTTAATATTACGCACAGTCGTCGACTTCGTATAGTAAAAACGAGCGTGATCGCCGCAGCCGCCGTTTTTTTTATTCATGTGCCGTGAGTGCGTCCGACCGGCCGGTTCGTTCCACCCATAAGCGCAAGACGCGCGCGACGCCCGCGTGTGTGTGTAGTTGAGTGTTTGGCGCGGCCGCCGTTGCGTTGCCGTGTTATGCCGCGGTGGTCTCACGACGCGCGCAACTGAAAACGATGGCAACGATTGTCGCAGCAAGTTCAGCACCGGTAACAGCGGAACCCCACCAAGACAATATCGATATCCCGGCGGAACAGACAAACGACGCCGCCGACGCGGTCGCCGCGGAGGAACAGGACAAGCCGCAGACAAAAGTGCCGCCTCCGCCCGTGCACAGCATCGTCGGCAAAGTACTCGACCTGAAACGGGCCAGCATATCGTCCGTGGACAGCGACATATCGTTGTCGTACGACGCCGCGCCGTTCTACCCGCGTTCCCTGAACCGGAACATGTCGGCCAACAATTCGAGCGGTTCCGGCACCGACGACGGCGGCCACCAGCGTAGCGCGTCTGCGGCCAGCGGCGCCGGCGGCGCCAGCGCCATCGGCCTGACCGATTCGTCGGATTCCGCTTACGAGGGCGGACAAGGCAAGTCGAGCGACGAGTCGGTACCGTTCGTGGCGCCGGACGAGGACACCACTAAGCGCATACTCGACCAGGTGGAGTTTTACTTTTCGGACACCAACATTGTCAAGGACGCGTTTCTGCTGAAGCACGTGCGCCGCAACAAGGAGGGGTACGTGTCGCTCAAGCTCATCTCGTCGTTTAAACGCGTCAAGCACCTGGCCAAAGACTGGCGGGCCGTGGCCCACGCCATATCCAAGTCGGACAAGCTGGAGGTGAACGAGTCCGGCACGAAGCTGCGACGCAAGGACCCGCTGCCGGCGTACGACCAGACGACGCCGTCGCGCACGGTCGTGGCCATCAACCTGCCCGAAAACAAGCCGGTCAGCATCGAGTCTGTGGCCGAGATGTTCCGCAGCTGTGGTGAAATAGCGTTGATCCGCGTGCTCCGGCCCGGCAACCCGATACCGTCGGACGTCCGGCACTTCGTCAACAAACACCCGGAGATGGGCAACAACGTTAGCGCACTTGTCGAGTTCGTACGCACCGAGTCCGCGCACAACGCCATCAGCAAAGACTGGACCGCGGAGAAGGCCAAAGACGGACAGGCCATGTGCGTGATGGAGCTGAACGCGCCGGCGTCCAAGAAGAAGGCCACGGCCGCGGCAAAAAAGTCGCCCATGAACCGTCTGTTCGACGGGGAATACTCGTCATCGTGCCAGAGCGGTTCGGAAACGGAAGACCTGCGTACCAAGTTGCGCATGCAGCGTAAGGTGTCGGCCAACACGATGATGCGATCCGAGTCGGCGTGGAACCAGCGCCGTTGGTCCCGCGACTCCGGCACGGACAGCTCCGGGTCTGGGTACTCGCGCCGCGACTCGTACGTGCCGCCGCAACACCAGTTGCCGGCCGGCGGTGACTTCGGCCACAGGCGCATGTCGTCCGGCTGGGACTCCGGCTCGGACAGCTATTACTCGGGACGGTCGCGTTCCAGCAGCGGCGTGTCAATACCCGAGACGTTCGGCATGCGTCGGTTCTCGTTGGCCAACCGCCCGGAACCGCCACAGCAACAGCAGCAGCCGTGCTGTTGCAACTGCGGCCACGGACAGGCGCAGCCGCCGCCGCCGCAACAGCAACAGCCGCCGATGGTCATGCGTCGGCACTCGGCGCAAGAGAACCATCATTACGACAGCCGACGGTGCAGCAGCAGCAGCAGCAACAGCGGCGGTGGCGACTTTTTGATGCGCAAGGATTCGACGTCGGACTTTTGTTGCGGATCGCCCGGCGGCGGATTCCACCAGAATTGGTCGCGCAAGAGCAGCTCGTCGTCCATGGGCGACGGCAGACGTTTGTCGGTCGACTCGTCCGATTCGTCCGGACGTTCCGGAAGCCGTCGCGCCAGTTTGGGCTTGGTAGCGCCCGACAACGTGGTCAGGATGCCCAAAGGCCCGGACGGATGCGGCAGCCGTGGATTCCAGCGGGAACCGCTCGTGGACAACACGCTTTATGAATAACGACAAAAACAAATATCCGAGCAGATTCAACGACACAATGAAATGACAATAAAATATATTAATCGATTTTTTAATTTAACATATTTAAGCGGTTTGGTTGAAATTATTATTAATATTTTAATTATATATTAAAGTATAATAGCCATTATAATAATATATAAAACAAAAAAATTTTGTAAAGCGATCATTTTTTAAAGACAATTTTTTTTTAAAGGAAATATCGCTCCGCCATCCCGTTTACGGTATAGTGTTAAAAAATAATAATAATCTTATGTAAGAACAGATATATACACCGTAGGAAAAGTTACCATATATTTTGTATTGTAATGTTATTGTTGTTTGTAGTGTAAATTTGCAAGGGGGAAATAAAGAAATACACATCACGCACATGTGAACTACATATATTAAGTAGGTTCACTGAACAAATTTTTCAACCTGTCCATAATACATATATTTATATTATATAAAAAAAAATATTTATACTACGGCGATAAACGTCGCCTAATTTATTATTTATTTATTTAAGAAATATTATTAAAAATAGACCGTTCTCGATTATATAATATTATACTTAGGCGTCATCGATTTAAACATTTATATACTTTTTTTTTCGCATAATAAAATATAATGATGTTTATTAAGTATTTGATTGTCGACAATTACAATTACAACTATAATAATATACTACCGATATATTTATTTATTTATTTATTTATTTATTTATAAGGCTTCACACGGTCGTACATAAAATATTATGATATTTATTCGCTATTTGTATTTAAATTATTATTATAAACGTAACGTTTTGATTTCGTAACCTTACCGTTGTTTTCATTATTGTGAATTGAATAAACAACCCTATTCGAGTCATGGTACATCCTGTATAATATGTATTATGTACTGATGTACATTAATTCCATTCCATCAGTGGCAACAGTCAACAGTGACCGTACAAGGGTAGGTTGCTGTACAACCAAAAGGTAAAGTGAATAATTTAAGTAAACAAAATTCAATCAAAAACTAAAAAATATTATCATCAACCCTTTTCCCCGGAATGGAATGGAAATCATTTTTTTTTTTAAGGGTGTAGTCTTTTGGAGACTTAAAACAATAACACGCTATCTAATTAATAAAATTGTTGTATATTAAATTTAGGTAATGATTGACTGATTATTAAAATAAAAACAAAATGCCGGAAAAACGATGGATTTTTTTTTACTGATAATATACTTATATATTTTTCCCCTAATGCAAGTTGACGTCAATAAAACCCAATATAAACGGACGAGCAAAATACCAGCATAATACCTATCGGTTTTTAAGGGGTTCGGTATAGGCAATTTATAGGTGAATTTTGATTTGAAAATAAACGCGCATAATGTACCGTTAGGCGTAACTAAGGGAGGGGCTTAGCTCTAAGTCTCTAAAAAAGCCCCCCTAATTAGTTCAAATGCTACATAGAAGAAATGCACCGTATTTTCTATAAACATTTTTTTTTACTTTTTAGTATTTTTCTTATGTAAAAAGAAATGTTATGATAAAAATTGATATTTTTGATTGTGTAAAAACATTTGAGTTACTCGAGGCCTTTTTTTCTGGGTTATTGTAGGAATCGATTTTTGATATTTCATTTAAATTTGTGTTGACGTCCTATTTTAATCGCTCAAATTTCTCAACTTTTCTAGTGTCCACTCCCTCGTGATTTTTTTTTTTAAGTAAATGAAACAGTTATATGAAAATCGATTTTCACAATATAACCTGGAAAAAAGGCCGACGAGCTCAAATATTTGTACAGACGAATGTGGATTTGTTTTATACTATCAATTAAATCCCACTTGCATTCTAATCTAAATTCATATCACTTACTCTGTGAAAACAATAACAATAGTAATTTATTCCACCTACTACTCTAGTTGGCGTACTACCTTTGTACTGTACCTATGTAAATATATATATACATATTTATTTAGTTATCGTGTATAGTATAATAATGGGAAATACCTACCTTGAGTGTAGTGTAGACAAAATTAAAAATACATAGTAGACAGCTGCAGTGCAACGGAAACGGCCGCACATCACACCTGCATCTACTGTCATCGTTGAGTTTTTTTTCCTGAATCGACGACACACGGAATTATTTGGGTTAAAGCGTTTATTACTGTATGATTTTTAACAATATAAAATTTCCCCAAAAAAAAAAAAGTAATACAACGATGAATTTTGTGAATAAGAACTACAGCTGTTGCTATTGGTTACCTATTATAAATAATTTTAATAGAAAACAATTTTGGTTACCTGCCACTTACCATCTGCTACCACGGTTATAGATGGTTGAGTAGGTACATTTTCTCCGCCATTTTAAATGTCTTTTTCAAAAGTGCCCCAATAATTGGGTAACTAAGTCAAAATAATTTGTACTTGGCTAAGGTAAGGCTGAAAGCTTTTTTTGTATTGAAAAATACTCTATACCTTCTAAAGAATTCATACCTTCAGGTAAGAATTTTGAATTCTTAGCTGTATCTACTAGGCCGATAAAAACAAAATTAAACACACATTTTAATTAAGCAACTTGGCATTGTTTTTTTTTTATTTAATACAAACCGCACGGTACAAAATCTATATCAATGTTAATTTTCAAAAAAAACTAATTTCATACAAATCGTATAGGTAATGAATTATATTTCACTAAGGCAGGTCTAGTTGTAAATAGTATTAAACCCTGGTTAGATTAGAATAGGTTAGTATACATGTGTAATCTTATAAACTAAAACGAATCATTTATACATCACCTGTACAATCTATTCTAATGTTTTGTATTGAATTCTGGCATTGCACTTATAATAATCACATTACCATTTTAAACAAATTATTGCATTTATTTTATATAATTCATCAACTAATAACAATAATATTTAGCCAAGAGTTAAATCAAATTTTTTTTTTAAAAAGTTTACATATTTTACATTTTAATTTTGAGCATCTGCTAAGTCCTTGTTCCTATAATTATATTACTAGAAACACAAATAATATTAATTTGGAAAAATTAGTGAATGTAAAACCACTTTTGGGAATTTGGGAGTTGTTGTATTCAGCTAGATATTAATGTGTTAAGTTATATAATAACTTCAACATTTTTAAAAATATATTTTAATAGTTTATCATTCCATAATAAATAATTCTTCTTCTTCTTCTTCCGGCCTTCATAACTCTCCAAGAGTTTTTGCCGCCATCACTAAATCACCCCACTTATCTCGATCCTGCACGATCTCCCTCCAATTCTGTGCTCCAAATCTTTTTCCACGACATCCATCCATCTTTTCCGAGGACGACCCCGTGGCCTTCTTCCTTCCGGCTTCCAATTTAATACTACCTTGGTTAATGCATCTGTGTTACGCCGCATAACATGCCCTAGCCATTTTATCCTTTGACTCTTTATGAATCCATTAATTGTAACTATATTTAGTTCTTCCTTTAATTCTTGGTTGAACTTTTGAAGTTAATTTTTTAATAGTACCGTTTTCAAATTTTATTGGTATATACATATAATTTTGTTATCAAGTTAGATTTGTAGGTACACTAGTGTAATTACTATAAACAATGTTTTAAATAAATTATGTAGGTATGTATATTTTAGCCTTATAAATTCTTTTTATTTTATAAATGTTGAACTCGACATTTCCTTTACAATCTTATACTTACGGTAGGTGTGTAACCACTGCAATTTTATTTTGTTTCAATTGTTGTTCATACTAATTGGTTACAAAAATAAACTATACATGCATACTATAATTGTCACTAGTGTCTGACTCAGGGTTAATTTTTATACCAAGTTAAATGAGTTGCTGTACATGTTATTTTGGCAATGTCCCAAAAGATGAATAGCATGGTAAAAGAAAAAAGTGAAAAAAATTATAAACAATATATAAACGTAATGGATTAACCTTTAATTAAACAGTTAATAGTTGCAAAGAAATATGGTAAATTTGTTGTATTCATCACATTTCATAATTTTTTACATTTGAATGTGTTTGTTTTTCTCGTCGACTGAATCATCTATCATTTACTTTGAATGCTTTCTTGTAAGAGATTCTAAAAAAATAAAAAAATGTTGTTAGCATTTATTTTACGATTACAATTTTCATTTTTAACACATTTTGTCCTCAACATTTTTTAAAAATTTTATTTATGAATTTACGCCAAAGGCTCGAGTACAGTAATTAAGTATAACAAAAATACAAATAGAATATATAGAGTGAAATATAAAATTGTTTCAATAAATAAAAATGGGTAATTTAAAATTATTTAAAACAAAAAATTGACAATATTCTAATAATAGCTATCGTAATATGTAACTGTTTAAAATTGAAGGATTACCAGATTTTAAAATAATGTAAAAAGAAGATAATTTATTAAATTCGACAGAAATTCTATTCAGAGAAGTATTTTATTTGTATGAAGTTTTATGAGATGAGATGGAAATAGTACATGAAAGACACTAGTAAAGAAAGTATAAAGAAGTACTAGTAAACAGAAACGAGAAAACTATTAAACGTTTAGGTTTGAGAACTTAATATTATATTATAGAACTGAATATTATTCATTACTGCTTCTCAGTTTAATGTTAATTGCAGCTCCAATAGACGGATATTTACAAGCCACATTACTGATAGTAATTGTGTATATATATGTGTGTGTGTGTGTGTGTTGACGCTTTGTAACAATGCAAAATTGTATATAAATGTACAAGTTGGATATGTTTGAGACACAAACACACGCAGTACGTTTGAATAACTATACTATACTGAATTTTTTGGGGAAAATAAGCTTATATTGTTTGACATACTTTAAGATCATCGATTTCAGTGTCCCAATTCTTTTCTGCTATTTTAGTTACAACGCTTATGAAAATTCGAGTGACTTTTTCAACATTTTCTTGGAATACTTTTAAAACGTTGGCAACGTTGACTTTTTCAGTCGCTTCTCTCCAACAGTCATAATCAGTGGCCATGGCCACTACACAATACAAGAGACCTGCTTCTTTAGCCAGGACAACCTAGAATATAAATAATTTCTTTTCATTAAATATGATTATTTGATTTTTTTATAAAGACAATGTCAATTCTGCATGGCACTAGGAAAATATAAGCTGTACATGTTTTTAAGTAAAAAGTTGAAAGGAAGTGGAAAAGAAATAACAGCCTATGTTTTTTAATAAAATATAAAAATATAGTTATTTACTTCTGGCGCAAGAGTCATGTTGACTAAATCTACATTCCAGGAACGGTACAGATTACTCTCGGCTTTAGTGGAAAATCTTGGCCCTTCAATAACTACTGCAGTACCGGTTTCGTGCACGGCGATACCAAGTTCTTTGGCAGTATCAATAACGATGTTTCTTGTTGTCAAACAAAATGCTGGTTCGATCGGTATATGCATGACTTTATCGCTGTACAAAGTATAATGTCGTTTCTTGGTTCTAAAACGTATTTTGTCAATGTCAAATCAAAAGATTATTAACTTTTCGATGTACCTTACAAATCAATGAAAGAGTCTAAAATAACCAAGTCACCAGGTTTGATTTGCTCTTTTAACGAACCAGTTGCTGATGATGCAATCACATGAGTACATCCAAGTTGTTTTAAAGCCCAAATATTGGCACGATAATTTACATCACTTGGACTAATTGAATGCTTGCGGCCATGTCTACGATAAGAAATACAAAGAACGTTTAGTTATAAATGTTTTTGGAATAAATCTCATTTACCAAGCACCCCCTTTTTTTTTATTTTATCAATAGTACTTTGCATGCTGATTTCTTTTAATGTTCTTCCGGCCACGCAAAAGTGCCCGAAAGGCCATTTAATGACTTTAATAAGTGATAATAGTGTTATGGACATCTATAAATGTAGGGAATAAACGAAAAATATTATTTGCAAATTATTACAGGTAAAATTGAGTATTACTTTTGGAAAAATATGGATTAGGTTAATCACATATAATATAGCACTTGCATCACAATGACATTTATAAAAAGTAGCGCCACACATCCATTTTGAAAAAGTAACAGGCAAGTGGTAGTCGTCACAATGTAAATGCCACGCCACAGACTTCTATACTAAGTACTAACTTGGTGTATGTGCAAGAGCATTATCAGTATTTCGCGTGTAATCAGCTTTAAAAGTACTATTGATTAAAAAAAAAAAAAGTGTGCCCGGCAAACTAGATTTTTATCTAAATTTTACAAGGGGTGATATAAAATTGAGAATACCTAGACAGGAGGACGCAATCAACACCGTTGATTTTCCCAGAGAACAGCGAGTCTGACGGCGGACCGTAAGGTGTGTCTATTTTATGTTCGGTAGAGTCTGTAAAAAAACTCGGATCGTCCAATCCGGATCCACCAATAATTCCAACCTGCCGAGTAAGTCAAAGAAATTATATTTTTACGAAATTTTAAAGTAAAAAAAAAAAAAAATTTTCGAATCTAACTCACTTTCACGTTGTACTTCATCGCTTTTGACTTTTGTCGGATATTCTGTCGATGAGTAAGTTTAAATTGTTATACTCTGAAAGAGACAAAGAAAAGTGGTAATAATTTTTAATCACTTTTGATAAAGACTACTGAGTAATGACAAAGTACAAACTGTTTAGCTGCAAGTGCCGGCCAATTGAACTCCACAAGTGTTCACCGTTACACTACAGTACCAGTTACTGATAAGATAAACTACTATCAGCAGTCAGCTGTAGTATATACCTATAAGTATATTTATTTATATTAATTACAAATCAAAAGTAGTTAAGAAATTATATTAAATTAGGTCTACTGATTATGTTCTTTCGACATATTGTTTTTAATTTAATTATATATTTTTTATAAAATAATAGACGGGTAATATGTTACTTATATGACCTTCTAGAAGGTATATGTATCATGTTTTTAAAATATATTTTTTTGACATTTTTTTTGTGTACCAGGAAATGTTTTTTAATTTAAATCAATATTTATTTGTAATAACTATGTGAGTTACTATTAAAATTATGCTCAGGTGTTAGTCTATACTTGTAATAAATTTCAAAAATCTCCATGTCGAAAACTCTGATCAACTTAAAGCAATGTGATTACAAACACAACATTGCTTCTATAGCAATTTGTTTTTAATGGTAATATTTTTACCATCTCTGACACAACAGTTTCTAAAGCCTGTGACTTCACCAAACCCATTGTTCGAGATTTTTTTAAGAAGTTTAAGCTGATTCAATCGGTTGAGTTTTATTGTCATTTTTGTAAAATTATTTTATTAATTGGATGAAATTGGATAAAATTATTTTAACCATTGTGTTAATAAGGGATAATACAATGGGCGAAAAAAAACCAGTAAATATTATTGATCAACATCATAAAATTATGAAACAACGTTTTTTAATAATCTAAAAAAATAATTTGCGTTTAAATAGCCTACATTTGAAAATAATAATAATAATAAAAAAAATCATTAAAAACATTCTAAAATGAATTTGGTGTGCAAAAAAAAAAATATAAATATATATAAATCAAAATAAAATATAACTAAAAAAAGTTTAAAATTTGTTTAACCGTCATTTAAAAAAAAAAACAAAAAAATTACGGAGTAGGTAACTATAAGTACATAAATTACTAAACGAAATATAATCGATTACATTAGATTTGCCAATTAAGTACACTACCTAATTGAATTCGGTTGAGCCCATGTATGCAAATATAATTAAGTGTATATATTAAAGTACTCCCTCCTATTTACTATACAAATGGTGTACTATGATTTGACATAATATTTTGGTTTAATCGCAATTTGTGGAAGACATTCCGTTTAGCTGATTGTGAGATGTCGAGCATTCGGAGGTATGAGCAGCGTTTGTAAGAGGTTCGCTAGCATCAATATCGGGGCCCGGACATAAGGTTGTCTGAAAAAAATAAAAATAAAATAAATGACCAACGATCGTATGAAGTATCAATATAAGGTATATGTGTATTTACCACAACGGTGGATTTCAATACGAACCCTTCGGTGGATGTCTATGTGATCGTGTTGGGTGATGATAGACAGTTCGTTAGTATTAGACGGGTTTTGCTTATGATGCCTGATCAGGCCTTCCATCAGATGATAATCATTTTCTTCGGCGTCCCTCAGATGTTCCTTTTCCAAGTATCTGGCAATTTCCGGATTGGACATTTCCGAAGCGTGTCTCTTACGAGGCACAGGCGTATTTCCACGTTTCGGCGAATGGTCGCAGTGTGGAGACAACATGCTAGGCGAACAAGGAGGACTAATTAGGCCGCACACAGTTTCTAGTTCATCTGTTATGCTAGAGTCAATGAAAACGTTTTTTACCATGGGAAATTGCAAAAGCTGCGTTCTATGTGTTTTTACTTTTTATGCGTGTGTACTACTCACTCACTTGAGTCTACTTAGCAGATTTTATACAACAATAAATAAATGTTCATTAAAACTTTAAAAGTAACCTTAATAGTTTTTATGTTTTTTTACTAAAAAATAACAATCAAATAAATGTAAACGACAATGTAACATGTTCGAAAGAGTTAAAATGTAAGCTCACTTATACCATAGAACATAGAATATAAATTTATTTTTGTTATTCAAAGGTTCGGGACAAAACTTGAGATTTTTCAAGAACCATGTGTACCTTCAACCAGTGAGATTGTATCAGAAATAATTTTTAAAAACGAGTAATACCAAAAGGGTGAAGAATTTTTTCTTCCTTTGTAGTTTTTGAGATTTTTTTTTTATTAATGCATGCATCAGTGTATTTAAATAACATAAACTACACTACCGAAATTAAATTCAAATTACCTTGTGTATTCGATGCGTTTGTTCATCATCACTGGTCTACTTGGAGTGGGCGGAAACACTTTAATCCGGGGTTCGACCCAAACGTTAGTGCGTTCACCACAAGATTTCGACTGGAACAATTCGTTGCCTTTGCATTCATCAGCCATATTGTCTATGTTATCGGCGGCGTCATCTAAATCTTTACTATTGAAGTCCGGCGATAAAGTGCTCTCAGTGTCATATTTTCGATCGTTGTGTCTAGCCGAGTTTAAAGACATACGACGACATTCATATGTGTTTAGTTCCATACAAGGCCTATCGTTATATGAGCAAACGCCGTCCGCAGATAACAGAAAATTACTGTCCGACAAATTGGGATGGCGAATTTCGTTGAACGAATACTTTTTTCTTCTGCGACAAGCTGACGGCGGTAAAGTGTCTGAAATATCTGATAACAAATCTGATCTCTCGCTGATACATCTTGTTCTGCCGGTAACTACTGTTTTAGGATCGTTTTCATAATCCGGTTCATACAAATTACTTCTTTTATGAGCATGGTCACTGCTACTTCCGCTATCGTGATCACCACTTTGGGTAGCCATAAATCTATGAATCACTCCTAAAGTAGATAACGTCTGGTCCATCAATTCCTCTATTTTGTGAAGTCTGAATTCCAAAGACTAAGAAAAAAAGAAAGTGTTAAAAAACCGAGTCAATAAAACTCCAATGACATGATTATAATATATTTATATACTTGTACAGACGAATTGTGTGAATTTTCTTTCTGATTGATGTCTTCTACTTTTTGTTGAATGTTTTCCATTTTGTCCACAGACGATTTGATTCTTTCCTCCATAGATATTTGTACTTTGTAATCTTTTTCTCGGAAATAACCTTCTACGCATTCTTCCTCAAAGTCATAGAGTTGCTCTAGTTCTTCGTTGCACAAAAACAATTTCAGACCGTTGTCGTACGTTTCTTGTATGCCTTGGATTTTGCGACACAAATATTTAGTCAACAAAAATATATGGCAAAAAAAAATTAAAGGAGGGGGTAGTGCTGGTTTTTGTTCGTATTCCATGACCACAGTGAACCTCTGGAACATCCAAACCTGAAAGGAGAAATAATAGTTATACTACTATTTGGAGATTTAAAAAATAATATGTTCTACGATCGACAGACATAGTTATGTTATTTTAGTTTGAACATTTTTATATTATGTACTGAGAAGGGTTATTTATAAATATCACCTGGTGAGATATTGCGTTAATATCGTTGAATATGTTATTGAATACTGCGATCAACAAATTGATAAGTAAAATGTTGGCAATCAGCAAGTACATAGCCATCACTAATGGTGTAATCCATCGTCCGGTTTGACAGTGTTGCATTGAAGGGGATTCTTCGCATTCAGGGTATATTTGATCGGCGTACACCTAATTATTACGACAAGTGAAGTGTCATACACTTTTTAAAGTATCTACAGGGTGTTTTGTTTTATTATTAACTACACTTTTTGACGCTACACACATTTTTATTTATACATTTATCTTCCATCTTCATGTCTGTGTTGTTTGCTAGGAACATCTGGAAGAAGAAAAACAACACCAGAGACAAACACTAGCGCAAATGGCTAAAGGATGTCATCAATAAACAAGCAAAAAGAAAAAAACGATAAACAGATTGCCACAGATACATCTTACATAGAAGAGTTATCATATAGCAAGAATGTCCAAGAAACATACGGAACGTACAGACCAAAATGGTCATAATATTAACTTAATGTTAAAATGTTAACCACAGAATCACATTACACAAAAAGGATGGCGAGGGAAGCCTTTGAAATAGAAAAACGCACGCTAAATTTCAACAGAGAGGATGGATGGAAATTGAGTGACATAAAGGCCGATAGTCCAACTCAGAAGAGGTCCACGGTAAACATTGAGAGAAATGAAGGAAGAGGACAGTCCATGGAAAAGAAGGAGGACAAACACAGGACAGCAAACAACAAAGGAACGACAAGAAAATAATAGCCTAGGTGAACTACACTTTAGCATATATTATAAGTTATAACCTATGACACAGTCCTGAAGATGGAAGATGAAAAGATTTCGAAAAATTGGCAGCCCTATTATGTGTAACTACAATCTCTGTAAATAATTTAAATGAAATGTTATTATACATCTAATCTAAAAACAACGTACCTCTCCGTAAAGCATAAAATATGGTTGCAAAAATATATGACGAATTAGGATCCAGTCAGGTTCTGAGTCTGGAGATAAAATTGCCTGTCGACTGACTCCAAAGCTCATTAGGACCACGAGAAGAAGAACCACAAAATAGAGCATATTTTTTACCATTTTGCCCATCATAGTAACCAGAGGTCCTGCACAATAAATTATTAACAAGATTAATTAAACTAATAATTAAATTATTAACGTTTTAATTAATATGTTTAATATAGTAAATGAAAAACCTTAAATTTTATTATTTTCAATAAAAGCAATTCCTCACCGAGATATTTATTTACGCCCAATATATTAAATATTCGCAAATACCAGTAAATAATATCAACACAAAACATGACACGACCAATAGCCTGGGACGACTCTTGTAATCTTAGGCATAAGCCAGTCAAGAAAAATATTATAGCGGCTGCGTCACACGGGTTCCACATATTCCAAGCCCAGACCGAGAACTTATCACTAAAACAATCATCAGAGTTATATTAGCTATTTAAAAATAGGTGTCGAAATGTCAGGGAAAAATTATAGCAGTGAAAACGTCACACAGTATTATTATTGCAAGCGATATATATTGTTACAAGTTAAAAAGTAACTCAATAAAAAAAAGATTAATTTAAATAGAACACTATAATGCATACGAAACTACCTAAGCTAAAAATATGTAGAATTCGGTACAATGAAAGATCAATTGACAACTAATTACGGGAAATAAGTTTTTATTCTTCTAAAATAATACGAGACTGTCCGCAAGCTATTACGTATTTTTATTAATCGTTTATACATATTTTGTTTGTGTAAAATTTTTGCTGCAACGTTTTTACTGCTTAATTTTAATGGTGCACCCACTATGAATAATAGTACTAACTTTATGCTTGTCGGTTCAGATGACACAATTTCTCTTATTTTTTCACATCCAAAAGTGCATATGTAAGCAATTACATAAAGTTCTTGCCAAGACGGACTCGGTCCCATTTTCACAAGTACAACATAGGTAAACAAAACCAAGAACACAAAGTAAGCAGCCTGTAAAAGAGGAAAAATAATAATTTTTTTAAAAACAAGAATATTATTTGAAGCAATAACGGTTTATTACTAACCGAATTAGCTAGAAATTTTGTTATAGGAGCAGTGTAAAATTCAAAAATTTTACGTTGCAACGGCAACGGACGTTGTCTTTTCAAGTCAAACACACTGTATTCGTAAGTCGGTGTTATGCATTTATGTTCAAAATCTATACTTTTCACAGTGCCCAACGAGCCACTTGGTAACATTGTGCCATTTTCAGCATTATCATTATCGACTGGTATCGTTACGCCCTAAAAAAAATGAACGATACTATTAACAAATAATTAAAAAAACTGGCACCAACTAAAATTTAAACCGGCGACAGCGAAATAATCGTAGACAGAACATTTGTTCCGAGATTTTATAGACGTGGTCATGGCAAACATATTAAGTAAGATGAATACGTTTGGCATGCGCCTAAGTAAAACTGGGACATTTAATCCTCGGGAGATATTTCACCCACTTCAACGTGTTATCATGCCTAATGTTCCGTCCACGTGTATAAAGCTATAACATTACCGCCTTATCCCACTCAATCGTGCTGTTCTCATTAATAACAATAGAAATGTAATAAAAAATTTTAAGTATAAAATGTGTGCCTACATCCAAATTTGTTTCTACCAGGTTTAAATGCGATCGATGAACACCACCTTCCTCCATACTCTCTGTGTCTTCTTCCAATTCCAACCCATACAAATGCTCTTCTTCGGTTTGAGGCATCGATTGCAATTCTTCTCTAGATTTAAACTCCAGTCTAGAAATGTATGGTGGAAAAAGCAGTCCTAACAAAATCTAAAACCAAAATATTACAATTGATTATGAACGTTCTATACATACCAAAACATTAAGGAAAACTAAGGAAATATAGAAATATTAAATTCACAATACCCTAATGTTGGTATTTTTTCTTGTTCTCAGACCGCCCATCCATAGATCAGCAAGTATTATTTGGCTACACGGATGTGCAAGTAGAGCTCGATTGTTTGCTGCCACAGCTAAGCTAAGGCAGGTTTGCCCACTCCAGTTTTGTAGTTCAACAGTTAATAACTGTTGGGCTTGATCGTCGTCTTGACGATAGCAATAATCCAATAACTCCAAGGCTTCAAACAAATAATAATAAAAAAAATTAATAATGATAAAACGAATTAAGCATTGCACAATACTGCTTTCTTATGTATGTGTGTTACACGTACAAATGTCCTCAAAAACTTTAGCATAGTTTCGTAACTCGTCATATATCTCAGTTTCCAAATCATCTTCAGCCGCTTCATGTGCCATGGCTTTATACAATTTACAAGCAGCCAGCGATTTAACCAAAGCTTCTTCACCGTGTTGCCACATAAGCAATGCCATTTCTTGGCGTTTCGTCAAAACAGTCCAAATCTAAACAGTGAAATTAAAATTTGACATTTAGAGGCAAACGAAATAGATATATTATGTCGACGCACCAACAGCTCATTGAAAGGATATTCAAACAATGTTTCATCTTCAGAGTTATCCGAATCAGCTAAAACCCCTAATGTTAAGTTATTTCCATAAAATCGTGTAAACGAGGCGCTATTCCTGTGCATATTATTTAACCGACGCGTTTGTGCATACATTAGGCGAAACTTGCGTCTTGTGTACTGAGCTCTATTTAAAAAATCCAAAATTAGCACAAGTTGGTTTTAAAAATTGCAATTAATTTCTATATTACCTATATGCGCCACCCATTAGTTTATTGATGACTAATCCGATGTCGTGTAACGTGTACATATATCCCGGTGAAATATGAGGCCTCACATCCCTCAGGATATAGCCCAGAGTATTAGTTGGCCCTTGTTTCTAAGAAAAAGAACACATTAAGTATAAATCAAATAATTTATTGAATTATAATAACTCACTGTGTTGTATAATTCTTCCAATCTCGATATTGTCAAAAACTTTTTCATGCTCACACCGTTTTCCAACAGTAACTTTACAAAATCAATCCTGTCATGCTCTAAAGCTTGCATCATAGATTCTTCTAAAGCCCCTTTAAGATATTAAAAGAACATTTTTTAAAATAAATAAAATATTTTTACACAAAATGTTCAATACACACACAAATACAATAGGTAGTACCAAATCATCATCATATCACTAGTAAACAAGGTGGAAATATATAAAACCACACTAACCTAGTGGCCACTCCTGTCCATACACGAAAATTTCTGATCTTGCAATATCAACCCGATTCCACGTCAGAGCTAAGCTCAATTGTTCAGACGGTGATAAATGCTGACTTTTGAACAACGCTGTTAATATTGTTTGATCCAATTCTTGTGACTTTTCTTGGCCATCACTTATTCGAAAAACCGTAATCTGAAATTGTCAAGGTATATTATTAGTTAATGTATCAACCAACTATTATTTATCAGTGTTTAAAACGTTCACTAAAAAAACCAAAACGCGTTCTCGGTTTGGATTTTTTTTTTTTTAAACAAACGCATTTGTCATACCAAATATTAGTTGTTTTTTAATATTTATGAATTTAAAAAAAAACTATCGCAGATATAAGTTAATCAAAAAAAATTTAAAGTGTTGAACATACCATGTGTTTGTATCTAGTGCATTCAATCAACTCTTGAAACAAACATTCAGCTTGTTCTGGTCCGACTTCAAACGCCCGTCGAATGTTATCCAATATGTACTCTTTCATGTTTTCCAAAACAGTTTGCTCTCCATTGTCTGACGCATATCTGGTTTAAAAGGTATAGGCCACCTTTTTCATTTTTGTCTAATTACTAACACTTAAAAGCATTTAAATGGACTTATGAAGCAATGTTAAATTTTTACTTGTGCGTGAAAGCTATTAGATCCGCTGCTCGGCCAGAACCATCACAGACGACTACCGGTACAGGCGGTGTATCGGTCACGTACTCCAGCACGGCTCTTATGGTATTAGTTCCGCCTTCGATTACTAGACACACAACAGGCGTACTGTAATGTGCACCTAAACAAAACAATGGTCAAGTGTGTAACAGAGATGTGCAAAATTAAAAATTAACTAAATACTTGGATGAAGTTTTTGAATTGAAATGTATTTCTCTAGTTTTCGCCGTAATATTATTTCCGCACCATAACGTGCTGATGTACCGTTATCTACTAAAAGAAAATACGTGTGTCTATTGTTTAATACTGCTAACTTTGATCTGGGCGACGATATAGAATGATAAGGGACGTCTTTGTTGTGTCCAATGAGTTCGTGATTGTTTTCGATGATACCCCATGGGGCAATGCCAATGGATACGATTCTACCAGTTCGCTGGGAATCAAGTAATAGTGCATCTCCCACTTGACGTGTGACACCTACCAGAGACGAAATTCAAGATAATTATTCTAAAGCGCAGGCCTAGAGTCTAGTCAAGTTTACCTGTGTTCGTTCCCCCCGTAAACACCCAAGCACCAGTGGTTTTTGCTGCTTTTAATAGGCCTTTGCGCAATACTTTTTTCAACTTAGGCTGTAGTTCGAAATTCGCTTTTCCTCCTTGGATGGTAATCAAAAGTTTTGGTAGTTCTAGACCCCATTCTCGTGTAAAAAGATGAAGTATTATTTCTGGTCGAGTGTCGTGCGATAATCTTACGTACTACAAGAAAATTAGTTGTCAAAACACATTTGTAACGCTTTTATTTAGTTTATAATACCTGAGCTTTAGTCGGATGGGGGCCACCTTGAAATTCGATTGTCCCATAAGCATCTGTCGGTGAAAGTACCGTGTGCTTGATAGGAGACCAAATTTCGTTGGCATTGTTCGGATCCAACTGAATAGAACCGTTGCCTCCGCCACAGTGGAATGTCAAAGATAGCCCACAGCCACATCTGTATGGTGACATAAATTAGAGAAGTTGATAAAAAAAACATATAGAAATTATCAATTAATAAAACATCACCTGTTTTTATCGAGTTTGCTTGGAATGAAATTGACACAATCTCTTTTTTGAAAAGACGCCTCAACCCAACTCCGAGCCCGACACTAAAAACAATAAATAAATAATTATTATAATATTAATGATGTATTTTATTCGAATTGTAGAGCTGTAAATTTTAGCTCAAATTAAAGCTATATATAAAAAAAAAACAATAACAGCATATTGAACTGGTTGTTTTGGCGGAAAATCTATTTTACCGGACATGCTTTTTTTTTCTTGGCTTTTTTTTCTTTTTTTAACCGGTAATACATTTCGTGTTGATTGCGAATTTGCAAACAAAAATTTGCAGAAATCAAAGGTTTACTAAAAGTAACGTTCATTTTAGATGTTCACCGATACACCCCACAACGTTGTGGGATTAATAATATTTTTTTTTAAAAGAACTGCGTTTGTTTCATGTGGGTTAGGAACGCATGAAATACAACTTTTTTTTTGCTGAAACAAGCAGTTAAATAATAACGTTGCAGCTATTTAAAAATATCACATTTTGCATAGTCATCGTTTATTTTTTTTGCCCAACTTTTTTTTTTTTTTTAACACCTTGTTTTTGCCTTTATTATTGTTATTAATTTTTTTTTTTTTTAATACACATTGAATATATCCGGTAAAAAATATTCGTGGGAAACAGATATCGTAGTAATAAAAAAAATAGGCACTCTTCGTGAATCTCGACCGTCTCGCTAAAATAAGACACCACTCGTTATTGTAGTGTACCGACCACCGACAATGGACTCCCACCACCTGTCCTAGCCTTGGTGAAACTCTATTCCTCGTTGTCATCAACGACCTACCTACATAATATATACCAAACATCATTCGAAAACTAGTTCAAATTTCGCAGGCGACGCCAATATTAATAATTGCGGTGGCGAAAAATCGTAAGTCGACAGAAAGAATACTATAAATAAATAAACAACGGACAGTATACGAGTTGGTGCTAATTGTAATATTATGATGATCTCAAACCAATGACATTTTCTTTATCTAAAACCAAGCACATCTCTCCGGAACAAATCACGCTGGACAAGCAGCAAAAATACCTATAAACACCGACTGCACCAATAAGATTAAAATTAAACACCTTATCCCTCGCATACATGCATATTTGAACTAATCTATACTTGAAAGCAAAAAGGTAAACTCCCCGCTATGGCATGGATACACAGTGAACAAAACGCAGTGATTTAAATTTCTCGAAATGCATGCTTTCTACAGCTAATATACCACTTCAAACTCGTTAACAAATATATCAATAAAATAACGAATTGAATATTATCAAAACGCAACAAAATCAGAGGGCAATCGTGAAAAACTCATTTATTTTATAATTTTACCAGAAAAATGTAAAACCAATATTCAAACTATACTAACGCAGACGCGTGGAAGACCAAAAATACCTCATTTTTGGCAATAGTAGTCGAAGAAACAATCAATATGATAGTATAAGATTACAGCAATAATTGTATGCATATCGACAGCCGAAGGTTAGGAACAGCTAGAAACAACAACACTAGCCTTCAAAAACGATTTTTTTTTTAATTAAAGCCAGAGCTGAGAAGGTGATGTTTTTAAAATGATGCGTTTTTTCTATCTGGACCCCCTTATATTGTTAATTACATGGGCATCTATGGAAATAAATTATTATAGACAAACAATTAACCCTATTCGAATATCCACCCTAATACTAAAAATACAGTAATAATTGTAAGCACATTATTGTCATTAGGTTCAACGGTTTTATCGATATTTGTATTTTTATCTGTGAACACTGGACCTCTCTTACTTACACACTTACTACTATTACTACTCACTTACGATTAATACTTTCTTTCTGTGCACCATTACAGATTCTCATCAGTGATTGAAGCGTTTATTTGAAAGTGGCTTCAACACTTTCAGTTTGTAAAAATGTATACACACCCGTGATGTCCCAATATGATCCGTCCCCACTATACCTCTGTACTGCCATTTATTTTTATTTTTAAGATTTAAATTGTGTTTTTGCGACGTATTTAATTCAGTCAATGCCCATCGATATTTCTGTTGGCATACTATTGACTTTTTCGAGTATTTTAAGACTAACCCAATTGTAGGAAAAACATCTTATATAAATTATGTATCTCCTCTTTCGGGTGATTAAAAAAGTTAGTATCTTTCTCAAAACTCACAAAAATTATTAGTTTAAATGTACAACTACAAAGTTACAAGGAAATTTGTTTTTTAATTAAAGCTAAACCATCGGACCAGTCTTGAAAAGATTCCAAATGGTAAGTAATTAAAATTTTTAAAAACAACTCAATTTCAAGCTTTCAAAAAAAAAAAATGTATAAATGAAAAGTCTGATTCATAAACAGTAAACTTTTGTAATAAAAAAATATATTATACTTCCAAAATACATAATTTATATTTTATTTATAATTAATGATCGATTAATTGTGTATTATTTAGTTTTTATTATAATTATACTATTTAGTGTTTCATAGTTCAAATACCAAAAGTTAAGTATTTTGTTCTACATACCTAGCATAAGGACCCATCTAAGTTTTAACTTATCTTTAATAACTGTATAAGTACTACAGCTAATCCTAAGTAAGAGTAAAAAATAAGATTTATTCACAGTTTATCGAGACAAAAATAATGAACATGACGTATACAAACCACTTTAGAAAAATAAAAAAAATACAGCGTTCTGTCCAATTCTATGGGTTGCTTTGAGGTACAGTACACAGAGATATGCATCAATTACAAATTCGACATAGTTTTACTGATAAACACAATTGCCTATTATAAGTTTATAATAATGTTCAATAATTAAAATTCACATAATAATAATGATTTTAATCAATTCTGAATTCAGCATAAACAAAAAAAAAAATGTTTAAAACTCTTATTTAAAAACATAATGGTACAAATATGTCGGGCATGTACCCAAATATTCTAGAACGGGTACAATGGTTTTGTTTCTGTATGTACCCAAAATGTCAATAATAAATCCAAAATCCAAAATGACCTCACCGAGACAAAACAATTACTATTAGACCCTAACTATCTAGTCTATGGACCATCTAGTGACTAGATTCTAGTCTCTCGGTATGTTTTACCAATCCGATGCAGTGTCAGTATGCTACAAAACTGGCGAGACAGATTTATTTGTTGAAATTATTGAAATTTTGGGTGCGGAACTCACCTTAAGTCTAATTCCCTGGTTATTTTATATATTTTTATTTAGGAATATATTTATGCAACATTTAAACTGGAACATTTTTTAGAGTTGTCACAACTGTCTACTTTAACAACCTTCAATAAAGTTCTTCTTAATATAGGCTAAGTTGAAAAACATTGAAACTAAAAAAAACACTGACGGAGAAAAAAACGGATTATTGAGATTGCCCTTCCCTACTCATTTAAATATTTACTTTATTATTTTGATTTATTGTACTTTATTAAAAACTTTTAGGCTTATACTAAATACTATACTTTTATCTAATCTGAATACCAAGTGTATTTATTTTACTATTTATGACATGTGTGCAAATTTAATTATGATTAAGAAGGTGACTCAATTATTTCAATTTTAAAATGTTTCTAAGATATTGTTTTTCCGTAATAAAATATAAATGGACCTCAGCTGTTCTTTATATGCCAAACATTAATTATTTAGGATAATATACATTGAATATTAGCACATTATAATTAATTGTTCACATCTTTAAATAATGGATAGTTAATAAAGATAAAAGAACATGTTATACACATTTTGATTTTATACCAATAGCTCTTGTCATGGCTTTGTTACCCTACCAATATTGTATACTATGAATAAATCCTTGAATACAGACGAAAGAAGAACGAAGGAAAATTAAATTGGTATTTTAAGTTGACTACTTAAACTATAACTACCGAATTTTAAAAAAAGTATATACATACAAAATGCGTAATAGATAAGATAAATAATAAGTGTGAGATAATAAAACTAATAATTGTATAAATGTTAAATATATCATTTGCTATCCAGAATACGTTTCCTCAAAAAAAAAAATGTATATACAGGGTGATCAACTTATTGTGAACCACTCATTATCTCACTGAGTTTTATAAGAAATTAAATTCTCTACGTAGTGTTTTCATGCAACGGAATCTCAATTTCTCACAATTTTTTTTTGTTTCTACCCCCTCCCAACTTAGTTTTTTTGATAGCAAATTATTAAAGTTTCAAGTAGTATTATTTTTTTCTGAGCGCTTTTCCCAACCGCACTTCCCCTCTCATCCTGACCTTTAAAATCTTATAATTTAAAAAATAGTTATCCAAAACTGGTTATCGACTAGTCAACATTTTTAGTACATTATTCTCATTTTATAAAAATAATGAAATGTATGCGTTACCATTTAGGTTTCAAAAATTGCTATCAAAAAAACTAAGTTGGGAGGGGGGTAAAAACAAAAAATGGATACAACTGTAAACTAGATTATTGTATTAAATTTAGTCAACATACTTTTTTGGATTTGTTTATCCTTGAAATCATACTGGTAGTGAGCAGTTTTTTGCTTTAACAGGATGCAGCGTCCAACCCTTAACGTTTCTACCATTGTCGGCCAAAATTTCTGTAAAAAAAAAAATAATAAAATAATTGGCAAACTATATCAAATTGTAATTGTTCCACCCCTTTTTCTGGTCGTTTGTCAGTAAATAATGTAAATAATAATATTCTAGGCTAAATAGTTTTTTTGGTATTTCAACTAGATTGATGGTACTATGTCTTAAGAAAATTTCATACAAATTTGAAACAAATACAACAATTTTTAAAAAAGTTTTAGCACACCGTAATTGTTGAAATATATGAATATTTTTAGGGTGTTTTTCAAGATTTTGGAGTAGAAGGGGTGAACTTATTCAATGTTTGGTCCAATAAGGTACCTTAAAGCTGAGATTTCTGATCATTGTACTTGCTACACGAAAAAATCGGTTTAGCAAAAATGTAATTAAACGTCAAATGTATTTTACGCCATGGCTATTATTTTCTCCAATAAATGAATATGACCAGTGTGTATCGTTAACAATACTAATTGTAGTTGGTGACTTACCAATGTGTTATCAGATCCTTTGGACAGTCCGAACGAAGAACACTGCGAACATACAAGTGACACAAATTAATCACTAATTGCTTTGTCTGACAACAGCTAATATACATTGTAAATATAGCACAACCGCTCATTGACGGTCAAATTTATATTGGCAAAATGTACCAATCGTAATTTTCGTAGTGACGGAAATACTGAAATTAACGATTTACTCACCAGCGTTGTTTACATTTTGAAAAATGTATACGTCTAATATCTGAAAACTTTGATGGATTTACGGTGCTACATTTCAAAATATATATTATGATAAATTATGAAACCTTATTAACTCCTTTAATCGGGTTTGTTATCATGCGCAACACTTACCAGCGCATTCTCACGGACCACAAGACGTCGCCGTTATCGAAAAATTGATAAGACGTTATCGTAACGGGCCGTCGTGTGATAAGAATAATTCCGGTAAGGTTATGGTAACCGGATAACCGATATGCCAGCAAATCGTGTTATCAACACGGCACGGGGCAGTTGTCCGAAAAATGACGAACGGCGTTATCATCGACATCGCGCAGGAGCACCAACGTCACGCAAAATAAAGATATTCAAATACTGAAAACCGTTATCAATAAATTTAATAATCATATGTGTTCAGTATTGCCAAGGTGGGTAAATCCAACGTGTGTATAATAATTACATATTTTGCACACGGGTATTTAGGAATTTAGATACACAAAAGTGTACCTAAAGTCGTTTTAATAATTTAATAAATATAAAATAAAAATACTATTGTTAATTATTTATAAATAATTCAACTTTTAGTCGTACAATAAAATATGTAGAAAACTTCAGGAGAGTCAATTGACATTTTCTACTTCAGTCGTCATACAAATCACAATATTAGAGTACAAGCAAACCATACAGAGTTAACTGAATTAGGCATAAATCTATTGAACATTATTCTTTCGACCCCCCCACCTCTTACTTGGGTCTATTGATTGTAGTCATATCAAACATTACAAACTACTGAAAAAGCTGTTTACTGATAAGAGCAAACATTTCATTAAACGTAGTTTTGACATTAAAACATCGCCAAAATGGTTAAGGCCCCTGGATACCGACCATTTTTAAAGGGGTTTTGTATAGGCAATATTTAAGAAAAAAGTGGTTTTATTAAATTTCGACCATGTTAATTAATTTACCGGTTAATTTATATGAGCTTCATGGTATTATTTTTAATTTAAATCATTTTGTCTATGAGTAAAAGCCATTTTAGTTAATATAATAGTACATTTTTTATCCACCGCACAGGCTGAACCAGTGATCTGATAAGTAATCTGAAAACAGATTTGAATTCGTCATAAAGTTTACTTGAATTCGGTCAGCGTACTTTTTTGATATCTTATTCCTACTACGCATAAAACACGTTTGAACACGTTTATAAAATTAAAAATTTTAAAATCAAATTTGGAAAGGGTTAAAATTAAAAATTGAAAAATGTGCTCTGACCGATGTCAAGTAAACTTCATGACAAATTCATATCTGTTTTTAGATTGCTTATCGGATTAATGGTTCACCCTGTGCGATGGACAAAAAATGATGTGTTTTGGCTGAAAATAACGGTCGGTATCCAGGGGCCTTAACAGCAAACCGTTTGCTTTCGGTACCTTCTGGAAAATACGCTTTATGATTTAAAAAGATGGTTATATTATTACATGATTATATAATATAGCCATACCACGGCATAGGGAAATTAGTATTGAATTTTATCTTATCGTATTCGCCAAGTTTTTGTTATCAAAAAAAAAAACAACGTATTTTTCTCCTAACTAAGACTCTATTTTGGTAGTTAATTTATTTTTTGGACTATCATAGCATCTTGAAAGCGATTTATAAATGTTTTTTCATTTCAACTTGTTTAAGCAGACTGAAAATAACTCGGTTATTTTGAATTTAGAGTAACAGCACCCATTATAAAATTAAAAGAAAACAATATTTCGGAGGGCAAGACAGTGCGTTTTTTCATTATTCCAAGTATAACGCTCAGTACATAGTTTAGAAATAACGACTATTTTAACATTTTTAAATGACTGTAACTTTCCAAAAAATTAATTTTTTTAAAAAAACGCACCGTCTTGCCCTCCGAAGTATTGTTTTCTTTTAATTTTATAATAGGTGCTTTTACTTTAAAACCAAAATTAAGCGAGTTATTTTCAGTCTGTTTAAACATGTTTTTACCACTGAAAATCACTGGTGCGACGCCCTCTTAATGGTAACAGCTGTTAACTTTTTTTTCAATTTGTCGTAGGGTCACAGAAATAGCAATAGTTGTTTACTGGCCTAAATGTATTAACTTTTTTTATTAAATATATATTTTATAATATGATACTACAGAACTATGGATAATTATAATTTTGTATTTTGAGATTAAAGTATAACAAATATTTATAACGTGTTTTGTAATGCAATTGAACACTAAATTGAGTTAAATTTTTTTTAAAAAACTGTATGTTTGTTGTAGTCTCTAGTCCGTGAAATTAAAAACGAACCCCAAGTCTGTAAAGTAATTTTTAGTCACATCATTTACAAGCAAATCAATTTTGATCTCCAATTTTTGTACGACATCAAATAAGTCTTCCTTCGTAGGATAATATCGATTCCCTTTTTTTCCATAAAAATATGTGTATACATCTTTTTCTTCAACGATCCACGGTTTATCGTACTCTGGTATAATACAATAGTTGTTTAACAAATCAACCAACGATTGGGTAGGCGTAGAACTGAGAAGTAGGTTAAGTCTCCTGTGTAAATCGCTTATTTTATCTATGTAGCAATAATCGTGTTCCCCCAGGTAATCGGACAGAACTGGTCTCAAGTCAGCTGATCTATCTTTATAAAATAACAAGTGCTGTCTAAATCTACTAATGCGGGTAAATGCGTTTCAAAATATTCTTGCGGAGCCAGTCGTTTTAAAAACCGCCACGCTTCATACATGTAGTCAAACATATACCAATTTTTTTGAAATTGTCTTATCACAGATTCAACTATATGCCAGGAATTTATTAAATCACCAAAATATTCAATAGAAAACTGTTCGTTTTTGACAAGATCCATTTGATTGGCTTGTACATTTTCTTCATCTGTCGAATGCGCCTTGTTGTATTCCCGTGCTCTTTTTCTACTCTTTTTTTCGGTCAAGCGACGTCTCTCCCTCTGGACAACATTTAAAACAGTTTTTGTCAAATAATTAAATTTGACCAACGCGTTTGCATAGACACACGATAACGAACACACAATAGTGTTATATTTTATCGCGAAGGAGTAATCGCTTAAAATTTCATTGGATTCTGCAATGTTTATCTCTGATACATCACTTACAGAGAAAGAGTTATTGCCTGTTGTACCAGGGAATCGAACCAAGCCGCTAATCTCGTCCCATCCTGGAGATTCTAAAAGCTTATTAATTGTTTCGTTTTTGTCGGTACAGAAAACATAATATTTTCGATCGTTAAATACCAAAGTCGAAACCAATAAAGTAATAAAGACGTAGAAAAACATGTTCTTTTGATGGAGTAAACTTGAGTGGAGATTTTTTTTTGTTATTTGCAACACTGATCTAATTGATGTAAATGCAAGAATGAAATATGAAAGATGTTATTATATTTTCAACTTAAAATTAAAGACAACGTATAAATTCAATTATTGCAGAAACCTAAAAAACTCTTTTCGTTTGCCTTATTCGCTATGTTATCAGCTGAATAAATAATAAAATACACGTAGTCTGTTGTTAGCGCTGAAGATGACAACATCGTTGTCGTAACACGTGTACGCATGAAGTGTATAATTTTTATGGTACACGTAGGTATTATTCATTTTGCTTTAGTGCAAAAAGAAAATATACGGTTTTGATTTTCCCAAAGTAATAAAACGACCAAATAGGTAAATTAATTTTTTTATTTTAATATATATTTTATAATAATATGATACTACAGAATTATGAATAATTATAATTTATATCGAGATTAAAGTGTAACAAATATTTATAACGTGTTTTGTTGTGTAATTGAACACTAAATTGACTTACATTTTTTAACTGTGTGTATTATTTTGGTCTCTAGTCCGCGAAAACAAAAACGAACCCCAAATCTGTGAAGTAATTTTTAGTGACATCATTTACAATCGATTTAATTTGGACTTCCAATTGTCGTACGACTGCAAATATTTCTTCGCTTGTAGGAATATATCCTTTTCCTCGTGTTTCAAAATAAGTTGGATATATATTATTATCTTCAACGACCCGTATTTTATGGTCCTCTGGTATAACGCAATAGATGTTTACTAAGTCATCTAACGATTCCAGATCGGTATGGCTGAGGAGTTTGTTGATTCTCCTGCTTAAATCGCTCAGGTTTTCTTCGGAATAGTTACCGCCTTCTCCGATGTACTCGGATAAAATCCGTCTCAAGTCTGCGGATCTATCATTATAGAACGACACGATTGTGTCGAATGCTATTACTTCGGGTAAATGCAATTCGAAATATTCATGCGGGGCCAGTAGTTTTAAAAAACGCAACGCTTGAAACATATGGTCAAACATCAACCAATTGTCCTTAAATTGTTTAATCACAGACTCGACCATTTGCCAGTAATCCGTTAAATCATTATCATTTTGACTAGAAGACGGTTGAATGTTTTCGTCAAGATCGTCTTCGTCGGCTTGTTCGTTTTGTTCGTCTGACGAACGCTCTTTATCTTTGGACACTTTTCTACACCTTTTTTTGCCACGTTTTCCGACTGACTTTTTATTCGATCTAATATCCCTCAAGCGACGTCTTTCCCTGAGCGAAATATTTCTAATGGTTTTGGTCAAATTGATAAAATTGACAAACGCATTTGCATGCAGACACGATACCGAATAAACGACCATGTCATATTTTATTTTGTAGTTGTCATCGTTTACAATTTTATCCTTTAATAAATCATCTACAGAGAAATCCTTATCTGGTTTATCGTGGAATCGGACTTTCAAGCTGCTAATGTTTTTCCATCCTTCAGATTCCAAAAGCTTATTGAGTGTCTCAATTGTTTCCTCTTTGTCGGCACAGAAAACAGATTTTCCATCGTTAAATACCAAAGTCGAAACCAACAAAGTAATAAACACGTTGAAAAACATTTTCTTTTGATGAAGTAAACTGAGTCGCGATATCTTTTTTTTGTGTTTTTGGTGACTGATCGATAAATGCCAGAATGAAACTAAGATGTTTTTAATGGTTTCAACTTACAGACAAAGACTACATATAAATTCAATTTTTTTTATTTTGCAGTAACCAAAAAAAAAACATATATTTTTTGTCATACTCGCTATGATATCAGCTGAACAAACAATACAATATACATATTATTACTTTCTTTGTCTTAGTGCTACTTTTTTTCGGCGCTCATTTTGAGCTTTATTAAAAGCACTTACAGGACATATTTAGTCATTTTTTTCTTCAAATGAATTATTATAAATGTACAGGGTGATTAAAGTTGTACATAACAGTATTGTTCAGTAAGGTTTTCAAGTTTTTCTTTGCACAATATTTTCCCTTCATTAGACACGATTCAATATGTTTTCAAATAACATAGGATATTTAGCTTAGTAAATTTCCTTAAGTATTTATTACTTCCTATATACATCAGGGACGGTTTTTATCACTCACCAAGGGGGGGGGGGGCTAATTGAAGTTCAAGAATTTACCTAGCTGTATTTTAAATCCAACAATAAAAAAATAGCTGGAAACCTAAATATTCAAATATCCATAAATATTAAATAACCATATTCTTCAATGACCATATTTTATAATAATTATTGATATATCATAATACTTGCCTTAAAAAAAAAATAGCTTAATCCCAAGAGGGGTGGGGGCTACTGCCCCCTTAAACCCGCCACTGATATACATACTCATAATACTTAAGTTACATTATGCATATAAATAATATTTATATTATATTATACATATTATTATGTAACTTTAAGTTTAAAAACTTAAGAACTAGATTTTGATTTTTTATTGTAAATTTGTCAAATGTAATAGGCACCTTCTTAAAAAAGTAATCTCCTAACCCTATTTAGATAGTTTATAAGCAAATAAATTATTTAAAACGTGTAATTTTTTAAATATATTTTTATTTTAAGTTTAAATATATTTTTACAAAAAAAAAAAAAACAAAAATCTGTTTCCCACATAACCTAGTAGAGTTGCCAAAGAACTCGTTTAACTTTACAGAATGGAAATCGGACCATCCTAAGTAGTCGAAATTTTGTCTGGCTTTTAATCTGATCTAAAACCATGGTTTAAGTCGAACACCATGCAATCTCCTTAACGATTATTATTAAAATAGATTTTCTGTGATTTGTCTGCGCATAAAAATGGATTGATTAAATTCGTTAAAAAAAATTAATTTTTACTGAGCTTTCTTACTAGTTTCACAGCCTTTTTCTTTGATCTATCGAAATTGACAGACGTTATCGCAACAGGTTACAATGTGATTATAATTCCGGTGGGGTATGGTAACATTGTAACAGGTATGCCAGCAACTCGTGTTATCAACACATCACATTACCGCTGCCGATGTGGTTTTCCCGTGGACGGCGGCCATTCTGATGTTATCACAAGTTGCAGGCGTACCATACAATTTTGTCACGGTAAACAGACGGAACCATTACGGTGATAACAGCTGATAAGCGATAACGGTTGAATGTGGTCTGATGATCGGTCGATTTTTTAGTAAATACTGATTAGTTTAGGCCAAGCCCGTCTGTCGATATATTTTGTTCAGTCGATCGAAACCGACTTATTATTGCAATTTTTTACTAATTATAAATTGTAAATTATAATTTAAATTTATACTATACATATATATATATATATAAAAAAAAGGGACAATCAATCAAAATGACAGCTGGGAAGAGGTTAAGTCCCAACGATCCAGGATCGTATTCCTTGCCTGGTAAATATAGAAATTATTATAAGTAAACATTATTTAATTCAACGAATTTATTCGATTACTATAATCAAGGGTTGTTATATTGTAATGTCCAAGAAGAGCATATGTCATGTAATTTTTCCTTCGAACATTTCATTCAATTTCTTTTTTTATTTTGCGTAAATTATTATACAAATTTCGACTTTGATGAAGTTAAGTAACCAAAAACTTCACTAGTTGCTTTGTTAAGTAAGTCATGTTATTTTAAAGTTACTACCATACATCTTTTTTTTTTTATATCGAAAGAAGTATTTTTAATTTTTTTTGCTCGGAAGCTGAATTTTTTGACAATTTCGGATAATGTATATTTTATTGATACTCAGCTTTAATTCATGTCTTACCTGTTAGTTTATTTGAAAAATAGTACTTACGCCGTAAATAAATAAATCAATTATTATATTGTCAATAACAATTGTAGAAATATATTGGTTCTTGGAAATTGTCAGTATCTAATAATTTGAAGTGGCCAGTAATTTCATTATTTAATCGCTAGGAATTAACTTAAGTGGGTACTTAAGTAATATTATTGTGTTATGTAATAATTTAGTTACTAATGGTAACTTATTTAAATCACAATTTTAACTAATTTTCCAGAACAAGTAGCGGTTACTCATATTGAAATACAATTGGAAGTAGATTTTTCCAATGAAAAACTGAAAGGTTTTGTAGACTTATCATTAAATAAGATTGACGAAAACTGCAATCAAGTGGTATGCCAAAAATAATGTCAATAGAAAAAAAATATAAGTATTTAAAAAATACCGGCTTGATAATAAAATACACTTTTAGATTTTGGATATTTTAGATATAAATATTGCAAGTGTCGTAAATAAAGATGACGGATCATCATTGGAGTATAACATTGGTGAGCGTTTGGATGTTTTCGGATCGAAAATGGAAATAAAAATACCACCCAATAAAAAGTAATTTTTCTTATTTTATTGAGAGCTGTATGTTTTTTAAAACATTTTTTTTTCTAACCATTGTGAATTTTGATAAAAATTTCAGTTGTGTTATCCGAATCACTTATGAAACATCAAAATGCGCTACTGCGTTGCAGTGGTTGTTGCCAGAACAAACTTTTGGTAAAATACACCCTTATCTATTCAGTCAAAACCAAGTATGTAGAAATTGTTATTTTTGAAATTTTAATCTTCTATAATAATATGAACTCGTCTATTGTGCAGCCTGCTCATGCCCGTTCCATGTTACCATGCCAAGATACTCCGTCGATAAAATCAACATATTCGGCCAAAGTATTAAGTTGTATTAGCATTAAGCTTGAACAAACCATGTAGTTGTAACAATCTTTTTTCGTTTTTTATCGTTTAAGATAACAGTGCCTAAACCATTAATGGCTTTGATGAGTGCAGTTCCAACGGAAACAGTCGATTGTGGTGACAAACGTCAATTCTTATTCCAGCAAACTGTTCCTGTTCAGTCATACCTAATAGCTATCGCTGTCGGCAACCTAGTTAGTAAGACTTTAAGTCCCGTGTCTAAAGTGTGGTGTGAACCCGAGTTGATTGACAAAGCGGCGTACGAGTTTGAGCAAGTAAATGAGACGATTGTGTTTTGTTCAACATTAGTTGTCTACTATTCAACAAAAAAACTAAAATTTTAGACTCCTGAATTATTAAAAGCCGCCGAAAAAGTATGCGGACCGTACGTTTGGAAAATTTACGACATTCTCGTTATGCCGCCTTCATTTCCTTTTGGCGGCATGGAAAATCCCTGTTTGACTTTTGTTACTCCCACATTAATAGTGAGTAGTAAATTAATATATTATTGAATTTTACAATATGTTTTTAATGTGTTAATTTGTTTTCGATAAATTAGGCCGGCGACAGGAGTCTTGTTAATGTCGTAGCACACGAAATTGCACACAGTTGGACTGGCAACTTGGTTACAAATTGTAATTTCGAACATTTTTGGTTGAACGAAGGTTTTACCGTTTACGTTGAACGGAGGATAAACGGTTTATTGAAAAATGAAAGTTCCAGGGAATTTGCTGCTCTCGAGGGCCTCGAAGACCTTAGACAAGCTGTAATATCATTAAACGTGTGTTTGTAATTAGTTTTAACGTTAGTTTTCCTCTTAGGTCGATGTTTTGGGTTCCGAAAATCCATTAACTAAATTGGTGGTCGATTTAACTGGAATTGATCCCGACGATGCGTTTTCGACTTGTCCGTATGAAAAAGGACACACGTTTCTATTTTGGTTAGAAAAGCTTTTCGGTGCCGGTATGATATCACGTTTATGTGGATTATATAGCATTATACATATTACCAGTGTTTGAAGAGAATTTTCTGAGAAATTACAAGAACGCAAGATATTTTTTTTTGAAGATAATTAAGATATTTCTTTACAGAGTTTATTTTGGCAGTGAACGCCAACGAGCTCATATTTTTAACGAATGTTCCAAATATTGTTGTGTATTTAAATTATTCCGTTATTAATAATTTAATTTAATTTAAAATTTTTCAGATAAATTCAATTTGTTTTTCAAAAGTTATGTGGATAAGTTCAAGTACAAGTCTATTAGTACTAATGATTTCAAGTCGTATTTATTATCTTATTTTCAAGACGATGACAAATCTTTGCAAATCGATTGGGATTTATGGCTGGACACGCCAGGAATGCCGCCAATAATACCACAGTAAGTGTTTTTTTTTCCAACGAGTAATGTTTTATTTACCGTTTGTTTGTATTTAGTTACGATACAAGTCTCCAGGATGCATGTGTAGCTCTATTGGAGCGTTGGACAAAATGGGATGAATCGGGTGAAGAACCGTTCAATAAATCTGATTTGATCGAATTTGAAACCAACCAAACAGTGCAGTTTTTAGCACTTCTTTTGAAAGTCGACAATATGACTTTATCCAAAATCAAAGCTATGCAAAAAGCGTACAATTTTAACGGTTCTCGTAATTGTGAAATACTGTTAAGGTAATAATTACAATAAAAACAAATCTAAATAATTTTCCTTGATTTTTATCGATTCTAAATTTTAGATGGTTGAGGACATGTATTAAGGTGAAATGGTTGGAACAATTAGAATGGGTCTTTACATTCATCAACCATTCTGGCAGAATGAAATACGTTCGACCAATATACAGGTAAAATACATTGTTGGTAATTAGAATAGTGTTAATAAGACTTCAAAATTTGATTTCAGAGACCTGTACGCATGGCAAGAAGTTCGAGTGCAAGCAATTGAAAATTTCGAAAAAAACAAAACGTCTATGATGTATGTTTGTCGTCACACAGTGGCCAAAGATCTCCACTTAAGGGATTAATTAGCTCATACCATTATGGTATGTGTCTAATACTCATGTGACGAGTACTTAGAGTACAATTTTTCATACTCGTATTGCGTAGGAATTTTGTGAGATACGTGTTCTTTGTATGTATTAAAAAATATATATATATATAGTTTTTATAAGGTTATGCAATAAAAAATGTTAACAGTTAAAAATTAATAAAAACAATAAAGTAATTAAATCTAAATTCGCTTTATATGTATGTTAAAAATAATTGGAAATGTGGAAAATAGACTATCGATTATTGGAATAAAAATTGAGCTTAGGAAGTTTTAAGGCTAGGAGCTGGCACTCAGCAGACGACATACCAATAGTTGCCGAGAATGAAGAGACTTGGGTAATAAGCAGAAAAAAATCCATCTAAATGGATAAGAAATTACTTTTCATCCTAGGGTGAATTTGAAAGAAAACAACCTAAATTACTGAACGGCAGACAAAAAAAATATCTCTGCTGGTATTTTATGCTAGTAAATTGTTAAACTTTATAGAACCTACTTAAGAACGCCTCATTACTGTGATTAATGTATACAGATTTTATAGTTGTATAAAAGAAAAAAACGCATACTACATAAGTACAGTGAATTATGTAAAATAATTTAATTCAATATGGTAAGACTTGAATAGACCGTCAAATCGAAAGTAGCAGTTTTAATTTTCATTAAAATTCACAAACACGCACTTGAGTATATATTATGAACATTAGCCAGTCCAAAATGGATTTATTACTAAAATTAACAGTTTAAATAAGTATAGTACAAATAAATGTTTAGTACACAAGTTGTTTTTAAATTATGTCAATTTGAAAGCCGAAAATAAAATTATCAATTTATTTAATAATATTTAGCATAGGACCAGTATAATAATAAAATATTAATGGCATACATTTTATGCTATTCAACAATCATACATCTACGATAATTTGCAAACTATACTAGAAAGCGTTCCCGTTTCAACATCAATTATAAAAATATAAATCAAAGTATCCCTGCTGAGAAAAATATATTTATTTTCCCAATTTGTTATTAACCATTGGTAATCCTACTTTACATGTTACGTAAACATTCACGTATGAAAAATATTAAATAATAATAAAATTAAAATTACTTTTTAATTGAATTTGGTAATTAAGCGTGATAAACTCTACTTTAGATCTAAAGTACAACTTTTACCAAACTTTTAATAGAAAAATTGCTAATAATAAATAATATAAAGAAACAAATTTTGTTGGGTATTACATAAATTCAAATATATTTAAACTGTAAAATAATAATAATAATTAAAAAAGAAAAACTATGCATTACCTAAAATCACAAATAGTGTTAGGCAAAAAAATGCATATACATATAAATATATATGATGCAAATATATTTCAATAAAAGTAATTACAAAATAATTATAAATAGAAATCATAGCCTACGATATTCCTACTCACTTTTATGTTACCTCCATTACATGTTTGTTTTCATGACACAATACAATAGTATGTACAAAAAAGATAGTACACGGTTGAGTTAATTATTTATGGAAAATGCGAAGGGTTAACCGGCTAAATTGATTAGAAAAATTGGCTTTATTTTTTAAACTTCTGTTACGTTAATATAATTTTTAACAAGGTTATTAAACTATTAGAACAAGTAAAATATTTTATTCTAACTTTACTAGATACAGAAGAAAAAAAAAGGAAGAAGGTAGTTGTACAAATATAAACAAATTGGGCGGTAATAATAAATTCGTGTTAAAACAGTAAATGCCTCACCTCTATGTATAAAATAATAATAGTATATTGTACTGATAACTTTAAATTTGTTTAAAAATGTTATAATTGTTTTATTTTTTATTTATAATATGATTACCGCTAAATGGATTGTAGCAATATATGTTTTTACGAAGCCCATTTGGCTAATTCTTTCATTTCATCGTCATCGTCTTCCACAACTTTTGTTTTTGCTAAAACATTATACAATTGTTATAAATATCATAAAGACAAATTCAAAACACAACTGAGTGAAATCGCAGATTTCATTTTAGTGCCTATACTATCAGAACTTAACTACAGATCCTTTGTTTTTGACTCGACAGATAAAACAAACACGACATTACATATTATTATCAACACATTCCGTAACACAGGCCACTGGACAACAGACGATGAGTTACGTCCATAAGCCGACTAATTTATTTACCAATCAATGGAAATTCATTGATTTTTGTGTAGACACTTTATTCATAAATCCTTATGGCTCATGGCTTTTGTTAGTGGAATAATTAAATCTGACTTATTCTCCAGCATTAAGTACAATATTAATTATTATTTAACATAAAAAAATTACCGATATTGTCCAAATGGTCCGTGTTTTGGTGGCTTATTTACAAAAAAGTTACTATACATAAAATAAATAAATACGTACCTTTGCTTCTTCCGCCAGGCTCGCTGGTTGGAACAGCGGGAGTTGGCAAATCTGATAATGGTGTCTTGCCTGTATTCAATAGTTCTTTGTCCAGTTCTTCTTGTTCTAATTGATCTAATTCCTTTTGTAGATCATCCTATAATCATATTAAATCATATAAATCGATTGTTCCATTTGACATTTTTTTTTTAATATCAGTTCTTACATCGTCTACATCAATACCAATGCCACTTGGATTGGAAATAGCTTCCGAAATTTCCTTTGATAATTCTTGTGATTCCGCTATGTCATCCATCATATTATGAACATCATCTACATTCCTGTAATAGGGCATAATAATAATAATGCTTTAGCAGGAAAAAACATCAAACATATTTTGGTTCCAACAAGTTTCATACTTGTTGTTAAAATGTTAACCAAAAGAAAAGTTAATCAATTTTACAGATCTATTCGACATCCACACATGAAGGTCTTATAATGATAAGAGATAATATAGTAATTTATTAATAAGAGAAAAAAATATAAGAAGCCGACAATAGCAGCTGCTATTTTCAGTAGTAGGCAATTGAATTAGTAAGGTTCAAAGATTTTAGTTGGTCGACATTGATATGCAAAACGACTATTTATTATGGTTAAAAATTCTAGAGCCAAATAATATTGTGTATGTATCGAATACTAAAACGACAACGTACATATTTTGATGTGCTGTCTTAAGTGCGTCGGCAGCCGTTTTCATAGTAGTCAAAACAGCATTATTTGTGTTGGCGCCTTCTAGAGCGTCTCGTTGTGTTTCAATTGTTAACATTGTGCCATCTATTTGCTCCAATTGTTGCTCATAGCGTTTCTTGCGTTTCAACGCCTGTATTGCCGCTGTTGATCGAACACAATGAAAATAATCAATGGCAGCCTGAGGATTTTATACGTTTTTTTTTTTTTATAGATTAGACGACTTACCTCGTTTATTCGTGGTGCCATTCTTTTTGGCTATTTCCAACTCTTGGTCGATTTTCTTTTGCAAGAACTCTTGTTTCTTGATCAACAACTCCTCCGTGGCCCTCAGCTTTTGAATGGCATCCTCGGTAGAAGGGCCTTTTTCTTCCTTTTTGCCACCGAATAGTTTACTTAGGAAGCTCATTTTGACGGGATCGACTACGGCAACAATTTAAAAAAACAGGTTCGACTTTCAACAGACGGCGAACATTCTATTCCACGAGCACAAAACGTCAATAAATTAACGCACAAACACAGATCTTAATAATAATTATTATATTATAAGACGTACGCGTCGGACTTGGTAACTTGGAAATATAATGTTATTTTTTTTTATTGTTGTCGTTCATTAGTCATCTGTTTTCCCACAAAAGTGATCCGAGGAAAATTGAACGTAGGTCCGTAAGTGTGATAACGCTCGTCCAAAGACGCTGTATAAGAATTCATGGAAGAAGTTATAGGTGTTTTTTTTTTTTTAACTGTCATTATTCATAATCATAGACCCAGCTATAAAGAATTAAATACAGCATAATTATTTATAGGTATTGGGTATTATTTCTTAATAATTGTAACTCAATGTTCATAACATTACGATTTAGGGTAGGCGTGGCGCCGTTTTCCCGCCCTTGAGAAAATATTCGAATTTTAAACGCACTCACAAGACAAAATAAAAAGGTATGTCGGCATTTTGCGAACACAAAATGAAAATTTGTGTAGAAAATGATAACACGCAAGAAGTTGCCAATACCTATTTAATTATCCAAGTTAGCACATTAGGTATAATTATTATAAAATGTCACACGAGCATAATCGTGGTTAAATAATAAATAATATATTACATTATAACAAAAGAATTATTACATAAAAATACTTATAATATCATGATAAAATACATTTATTTTGTCATAGATTATGGATAATATGATATTCGACTTTAAAGATTATAGGTACTTAACAATTTTGTAATTTGCTTACACGGTTGTCAGTGGTCTGCATTTTTTATTATTTATCAACAAAATGCCTTTTTTTTTATACAATTTGTTGTGAAAATTTGGATTGAATGGTAATACCAAGTATTATACACCAGCAAAAGGAACTGATTATTCATCCAGATAAGCCCATCGGTTTGAGATGTAACTTGTTACAAAATACACACCAAAAGAGTTTTCTATTGGATTCTATAATATAAAATATAATATTGGTTTGAACAATTTCACTAATTCTATAAAAATATATTTGAATAATAGGTACAACAAGGTTGTTAAAAAAATAACGATTACTCATTATTTTAAAGATAAATTAATTTCGGGTAATAATTTTTTTGATGTATGAAAACAAAATTAATTTTTTATCACAAAAAGTTGACCGAAGAAATTCCGAAAATCAATTGTAAAACAATTGGGTAAATACAATGTATTTAAAAATATAGTCTTTAATAATCTTAATTATAATGATAAAATCATAAAAGAATGAATCTTTCTCGCACTGCTAACGTACATAAACGCATTAGAATGTATTAAAAATTGTACATGAAACAAGATTTTTCGTAACATGAAATGTGCAATTCAAATGGTTCATATAATACATTAAAGTTTTTTGAGAGTAGGTAACATTTTAAAGTTAAATGATTAAGTTAGGATAGGTTAATAATAGCCCTTATTGGGTCATGAATCTACAAAGTAATCTACATAAATCATAGTATTATACTTTTTTAAACAGTAATATTATAACTAAACTGATATACTTTGCATATTATGTAGATATATAATATAATATAATAAAGTATAATATTTTAATATTTAATTTTTGTAACATTTCGGTCAATAATGAGGGCAACAATTATTTAGTACGTAGTAATAATATTATATAAATAAAATTGTAAATAAAATATCACTGCATAGAACCGCAAATATTATGTATATGTGTGAAGAAATATTGAAATAATGTATTTTATAATTAATATTATTCTGGAAAATATTTTACACTGCGGTATTTGAAAGAAATAAGTATTCAAGCGGAACACCTACTAAAAAATATAAATATATTAGTTATTGAAAACACACAAATCTACTTTTTAATAGAATATTGATTTATTTTATTCAATTTTAATTTTAATTACATAAATTGTTAATTTTTTTTATTAAAGACTTATTTTAATGATTAACCATGTATTTTTCTATAATCTGTGTTAATTTGTTTGATATATCCTAACATATTCTAACTGTATTGAGTCAGTGTACGCATTTTATTATCAAGGTATTACTGAAAACCTATACATTTACTTTAACTTAACTAAGTAGTATTCAAAGACCCGCGTATCGGCCTGAACGGCTTATAAGTTAAGGTAGGAGAGACTATTAAGTATCTCGGGATGCTAGTCGATTGAAAACTTAACTTCAAGCAGCACGTCAAGGTCCAATGTTAATATTATTATTGGATCCCACCCGGAGAGGGTGTGTTAGATTAAAGTAACATGTATAGTTTTTGGTCATATGTAGAGGGGGTGCGTGGAACACCTTCTCAACAGAGTTGTATATTGTGTTTTTGTACAATAAAGAGCATCGGTGATCCGGGGGGAAGCAATGCCCCACCAGGCTAGCCCCCTCCCCGGAACGCAAAGGATGCATGAATAAAAGGAAAATAAAAAAACTAAGTAATATTTATTGTAAATAAATCGACAGCAAAAACTATAATGTTTAAAAAAATTATAGATTCTTGTGTGATAAAAAAAATGATATAATATACTCATCTGTATTATGCTAATTTATTGTAAGTTATATTCGTAAATGAACTGTGGTGTATGTTATGAAAACAAAAATATATCCAATTCATTATGAATATCATATAATTAATATCAAATGAAAACATAATTTCAATTTATCAATTAAAAAAAAAATCTAAGATAACTAAAAAACAGTTTTAAGCTAACTATCCTTTAATACAAATAAATAAAACATCGATTAAAGTTAGGTTTTTTTCCAACATAAAATACCTTATACATTATAATTGTGTATTTACACATTTACACATTAAAAACTAAGCAAGTAATATAGTAAACAAATTAATTTAAACGTGCTTTTAATTAACATGTTGACAGCCGCTTCAAACAATTGTCTTGATTTGAACTATTTGAAAAACAAATTGTACTATAATGTAATATATACTTTTTTTGGTTTCAAATAGAGAAACACACGGTAGAGGCTAAAAATAATTTTTCTTAATTCATACAAATATACATAGTTTAAAGGATGATATCTACTTTAAGCAAATCAAAAAATATTATTATAAATTGGTTTGTCTTTTGAAAGATGTATGTAAATGTTAAAGATAATGTTATCCTAACCGATGAGCGATTTTTATGAAATTGTTTGAAGCGGCTGTCAACATGTTAATTAAAAGTACGTTCAAATTAATTGCGCTTGAATAAACTTATTACCGGTGCGTATAAATCAAGAGTTTGACGCGAAAATTGTTGGCAAATAGTCTTGGCACGTGTCTAAATAAAAATGTAATTATTATAAACTAAAATCATTTTTTTTAAGATTGTGTCCACCAGTTAAAGTTTTCCATCAAATCGTGCTGCCGTGATTCATTTTTTAGTCGTTATGATAATGTATTCGCAAAAGTTGATTCTAATACTAGTTTGGGTGGCCGTACTTTTTTCTACACGCGTTGTGTCGGAATTTAAATCAGAACTAGCTAATAAATTAAACATGTTAGTGCGCCATACGGGATGGCGAGACGGGATGCACGACATCAAAATCGTAAATGATGGCGGAGATATCTCGGAGCCCATGACCGTAATAGTCCAAGCCATATCGTCGAACCGGAACCCAGTCGACAGATCCAACGTCCTGGTTAGATACGACGAGATCTGGACTATGCTCATGTGTAAGTACGGCGAGATTATTTATAAGTTCAAGCTTCTCATACAAACATATATACGGGTTTGCCGATACGAAATAAGCAGCTGCGACTATTCGGCTGAAAGGTTTTACCATTGTTTTCAATTGCTGCTGACCAAACTCCACAGCGCGTCTCCGAGGTTTAAATGCATGCAAGACGCGTTGAAATTTTTTTATACGCTAGGTGCACAATCGAACCCTGAGCAAAGTATAATAATCGCCACGGAAAAATTGACCCAGTATACTTTAAATGTAGGCCCTGAAACGTCCGCAAAATTGTCCGCACACGGTATCAACGAGGACATGGTCGATCTTGAAATGAAAAACATAAGCGAAAATATCAAGGAAGTATATTCAAAAATCGCATACCCGTATATCCACAAACGTTGCATCATTTCGAAATACACAGATTGGACTGTACAGAAATTGAACGATGATTTTGATCACTTAAAGAAAAACCAGTTGATACTGCAGGAAATGACTCTGATGGAATATGTAGTTGACATATTGGATTGCTACGTTAGTGAAATTTTAACCAGGTGGTTCTACAATTTGGGCTTTGCATACGGAGTGCAGGGAATGGTTAAGATCGGGAATAATTAAAATATTATTAACACTGAAATACCGCTATTTATTGTGTAGAATAATCAACATAATATTGTGTGTATCTGACTTGTAGCTATTTTTGTTTAAGACAATACGTACTAACAACTTGATATCAAATAAAATGTGTCAACGTGGCATTTTTTTGTATAACTTTATACATTTTAATGTATTTTTAAATAATTTAAATAAACACGAAAAACAATGAACTTAATGAACTTGATATTATTATTATTACATTTTTTTACCATATTAAAATCTGGGCTTTGCATATGGAATGCAGGGAATGGTTGCGATCGGGATTATTTGATATATATATTATTTCCATCGAATTACCGATTTATTGTGTAATATCGAAGAATCAATTTGGGTTTATGACAGGGAAATCAATTATGGAACCAATATTTTGTATGAGACAAATTGTGGAAAAGTACAGAGAAAAAAGAAGAAAACTGTGTAATGTATTTATAGATTTAGAAAAGGCATATGATAGAGTTCCTAGAGAGGTTTTGAGGTGGACGTTAAGGAAGATAAGAGTTCTGAGGGTATATGTGAAAGTAATAGTGGAAATGTGTGAAGAGACAATTACAAGAGTGAAGAGTGTGTGTGGAGAAACTGAATATTTTAGTGTAAGAGTAGGTGTGCATCTTTAGTAATGGATAAGATTACGAAAGATATTCAGGGGAGGTGCCATGGTGTATAATGTTTGTGGATGACGTAGTGTTAGTGGGGGAAAGTCCGGAAGAATTGGGTGAGAGATTTGAAGAGTGGAGAGAAGTGCTTGAAGGGAAAGGGCTGAAGATTAGTAGGAGTAAAATGGAGACAATCGTGTTTGATTT